CCCCAAAACCCCAAAACCCCAAAACCCCAAAACCCCAAAACCCCAAAACCCCAATTTAGCTCTCTATTAATAATTACTAGATTTTATATAACAAAAAAGACATAAGAAAATGTCAAAATTGTACGATAATAAAATCACCCAAAATGAAGCTAATAAGGCTAGTCATGATAACAAAGGACTCGTGGATGACCCAATGTCTGGTATGACTTCTCCTGATGGTAAAAGAGATGCTGAAAATAAGTCAAATGAAGATTCACCTGGAGAAGGTAATGTTATTAAAGTTCAACCCAATGGTTTATACTCTAATGAAGATGATACAACCAAAATTAGTAATTCTAAAAAGAGCGATCAAGTTGACTCGCAAACTATTTCTGCTAATCAGACTGAAGTTAAAAGCGATGATGTTGACATGCCTCACCAAGACACTTCATCTAGCTTCCTGAGAAGAAGTGAGAGAAATGCAAAGTATGGGCACAGCTCCTACAAAAACTTAGTCAAGAGACCTTCAAAGTATGAAGACTTTGAAGTTGGGCCGATGATTGGCCAGAAATCTTCATCCCAGATGGACCCTCCAGGATCAGTGGGAAGCAATAAGAGAAAAAGAAAGGTAGGAAACATCCCTCCCCTCTCGCTTCCTGAAGCAAGTCTTAAAAGAACAGCTTCTACTAAAATGCCAAATAGCAGCTCTGCTCTATCTCTCAATGATGAAAAAGAAGTTGTGTACAATCAAGGTAGATGGACGTGTTTGGAGCACTTTAAATTCCTTGAAGCTCTTAAAAAGTTCGGAAAGGAATGGCAAAAAGTTCAGCAGCATGTGCACACTAGAACAAGTACGCAAGCGAGATCTCACGCTCAAAAATTCTTTGTAAAACTTGACAAATAAATCATTAACATTAGATGAATTTCTAAAAGGACTTGACTTAAAAGAAGTTGAGAAAAATCTGCTTGCTTCCGGAGTTGACAACACAGATTATGATGAAGAAAGAGAGGTCAATATTATTGCAAATAGAAAACTCAAAGGATCTGTAATGAATATCGCATTGCCATCAAATCAAGAAGAGAATAAGAGCTCCGTTACTAAAAGGCCATCACTTAAAAGAAAAAGGTCTGATATGGACGATTTGGTAAAAGCCTCGAACCGGAGAGAGCAATTGCACCAAAATATTAAAAACGCTTTTAGTAATCATATGGATGACGGGAATGCAACTAATGCCCGCAAAAGGGTAAAAACAACAGAAATTGATGAAAGAGAATACCAAATAAGTAAGCTATAATACTCATTATAGAAGATTCAAATCAGAAAGATGGAGACAATAAGAGTAATGAAGACAAGGAAGAGCGTCAAAGGACATTATCTATCTCTAATTTTGAGCCACTCCAACCTCGGAATAAAATGCTTATCTGTAAGTTCATCTTAGAAGAATCATTATTCTTCATCAAAACTGAATGCAAATTAACCTCAGTCTATTTAGCAGAATCAGATAAGAGAAATTATAGAAAAGGAACTGTGGATCAAAACCTAGATGTTGATAACTTTGACAGGAATTTTATTGGAGACTCAACTAATCCTCTAAGGACACCTCAGCCTAACAGATCTGATGACATGATCATCAATCAGCTAGTTTACAAATAATACAGGATGAATCGAAGACTACCATTTTAGTTTAGAGCAACTTTTTAATAAGCCAAAAACTGTGATAGATGACCAGCAAGATTATGATGAGCCAAAGCAAGATAATGAGCAAGATGATAAGGTCCCTCCAAGGATTGGAAGTAGACTCAGTTTTGATTTCTGTGAATTGCGTGCAGATCAGCTTCTAGAATCAACCCCCATCAGCTTTCACGAAGATAGACTAAAAGCGAAGATTTTTGAATACCCGAAGAACCGTTTGAAAAAGAAGCAAGCAAAATAAATGTGCAGCTTGATAGAGTAGATAAAGAAATTGCGATTTATTTACCGACTCTAAAAATTCAGAACTCATTATTATTGTTTGCAAGTGAAAACAGCTGTCAACCAACTCTCCAATAAAGGGGTTTTGGGGTTTTGGGGTTTTGGGGTTTTGGGGTTTTGGGG